CAGAGACACAGAGACACACACACGCACACGCACACACACACACACACACACACACACACACACAGGTTAAAGACCTATTTCAATAAAAAGCACGAGGGATATGAAGGAAAAGCAGCAATGGTTCAGTTTCATTCTGTAGTTGTTACACAGGGTTTCCACTCTTTCAACAAATCACTTTTCCAGGACTTTTCTTGACAATACAGGACAGCTGGACACTTGTTAACAACGGTGGGCAGCGTTTATGAGTCACTGACTTTTGTGGCGTGCTCGGCTGTTATAGCTGATTATTCTGCTGCAGTCTCTGACTAATTGGCTACAGTTAATTACAGTTAACGTTAAATTTAAAACTTTTTAAAAAGTCTATTAACAGAAAAGAAAGAGTAAAAGTGTTTGTGGCATGTATTTATTGACCACAGCAATAAATCTGATCATTATCAGGCTGTATGCGAGTAGATTTAACCGTCTACAGCATTTTCAAAAAAAACATAATTAAAAGGGAGCGTTTTTCTGTTCCGCTTTGTGTCTGGTAAACCCGCTTTCAAGTGCCATACAACGTAGTTTATCCCACCAACAGAACAAAACAACAGCATCTAAAATGGGCTAAAATACAATTATAAATGACAGTTTTTCAGGACAACATAAATTATTTCCAGGAAATGTCGTCATTTTAATTAATATCCAGATGTTTCCATGGCTGGAAAACTTGTCTCTGAATGTCCAGGTTGTCCAGGATGTGTGGGAACCCTGGTTACATCACGTTAACTTCATTAATCCAATCAATATTTCAGACATTTTAAGGCCTAAACCTCATGTGTGTGTTCACTTTCAAGTATTTATCGTCACTGTCTGTGGAGGTAAATATGAAATATTTCCTGATGTGATTCAATAACTGAGACTCACCCAGTGGCAGATGAGGGCTGCTCAGCACAGAGGCGGCACAGTCGACCAGAACCTTGGCGGCCGCCAGCTTCACCTCCACTGGCTGCTCCTCGCTGCAGCAAGAGCACAGCAGCGCCCCCCACTGGGCTAAACACGCCTCTGCACTCGCACCCTGGACAACATTATTGATCAGAAAAAAAGAACGTATATAAGAAGAGAGCATTTTTAATAAATCAGTTTAATGTTTAATAGCCAAGCGAGGGAGCTGCGATCTGCATCTAAATCCTACACACTGGTCCTTTAAGAAATGAATATAATCAGGCAGAAGGAGTAGATGCCTCTTAAAGATTTTAATACAGATTTTTTTTTTTTTTTGCATAACACACACATCAGACATGATTGTTCCAAATAATTTGTATGTATGTCTTAATACACGTCTGGAGGGGATTTTTAAGTTCTGAAAAACAACATAACAAAACAAAAAAACAGTGAGGCTAAGTAATGGCTTAGTTAAACCAAGTTTAATGCACAACTCACAGACCAAACAGGTCAAGTTCATTTCACTGGGTCTATGAACAGAACAAGGTACAGCAGAAGGCAGACAATCAGAACAAGAGCCCAGATCCAAAGAGGCATAAGCTGGCAGGAAAGTGTCCAAATATGGAAAGGATAAAAAACAAACACACAAAAAAAGGCAAGGCAAAATAAGCAGATGGTTGGATGGCACAACAGATAATCTGCTGGAATACTATGGGGAGCAGATGAGGGAATCAGGAGCATGTGTGCAGGTGGATGATGACAAATGATGGAAGGACTACTGCTGGACAGGAAGGGAATAACAGGCTGTAGTACTCCTCTGATTTAGCTTTGCGCTAACACTGTCGGACTCATGATGGACAGTTTTCAATAGGATCAATGCAGCAGAATCAGAATTATTGTCTTTATTTTTGTCCATGGATTCTTCCTTGTCAGAGCCTGGCGCCTACATTACCCACAAAGCAACGCAACCGCCAGCAGTTCCTTTAGAGATTCAGGTGTGTTAGCAGACTGCCCCCTGACTCAAGTGACATCGCTGGAGGACATTTATCAGACTTCCCCTTCGCTCCTCTGAAGACACAGTGAGTGTCACAGTTCATCTTTAATGACCGTCAGACTCCCAACAGAGACAAACATCAAAAAACCTTATGGATTGGCTGTGACCTCGACAGTCCAACCACACCGAACAGAATCAGGTTTAAATGGTAAACACACCTAGTATCCTGACTGTTACACTGCTGTGTTTATTCATTTAAAAATAAAGTATACAAAAATGATCTAGTCTTCCTTCAGAGCAGTGGTTCCTTACCTGGGGGATCGCCAAAGCTTCACGAGGGGTCGCGAGGTCTTCTTGATTTTAAGGGGTGTACAAAAACGAAAATATACACTGTAGGCCTATTTCTCAGCATTTGGTTCATTTCTGTGAAGAAAAGTCCATTTAAAGGTGAAGTAAACCAATATTTTTAAAGTTTAGATTATTATTTAAGATCTAAACTTTAAAGACCTGAACACAAACTATATTGACAGAGCCTTCAGTTTCTCATAAACAGCCTCGTCCTGCATTAGAAAAGCATGCAGTTAAAACAAGCAAAGAACTGATAGAACAATGAGAAGAAAACACTGAAAAGTGAATTTCTCAAAAAGGAAACCTATTAAGTCTGTATGATTGATAAAAATGATTAAAAAAAGATATAGACTTTCATAGAATTGGGTAAAATTTACTTAACAGGAAATAATCTGCTAAAAATCCAATGTATCCATATCACTCATTTTACACAAACGTCCTGCAGTTAGTGAGTGAGTTCACTGTTTGGGTTCATTGTATATTGTTTAATATAATATGAAATATGTCACTTGGTCAGGGGTCGTCAGTTTACTGAATGATAGACAAGAGGTCTGTTAAGGTAAAAGACGTAAGTGTGAATCCGTATTACTGAGGCAAGCAACTGGAAACAACATGACTATAATATCCTTGTAATAAATATCCTGGCACAGACTTCAGAATAGTGCACACACCTTGCTCAGAGTGGTTATTATAGGATATAAAGCTTCAGTATGAAATGTTTTAATTTATGAAGAAGAACAATAACAACATATCTCCAGTGGGGAGTAAAGACTGTAGCACGCTGGCTGATTTGCAGACTTTAATACTAACCAGTTTGTGTTTCTTAAATTAGAATAATATGAGATGCTGCAGGAGGCAAAAACTCAACAAAGCCACAGTAATCACAATTTTGATTTCCACAAACACATCACGAGACCTAACAAGGTGAAAAACGGTAGAAAACACAATACAATTAGGAATAAATAAAATACATTTCATTACGATTGCAACTAACATTGATTACAACAGTGTATTAGGACATAAGGGTTTGTCATACAGTAAATAGCAAAAACCTTCTATCTAACCTTCAACACTGAGTTTTTTCCATCATGTTGACTTTTTTTAGCCATTGTTTAGTGAAATATGTGGTCTAAACATTTTACATAATAAACTTAACTTGAATTTTTTGAATTTACTTGAACTACATAAATATACTGTACTGATGGTTTCGCTTTTGCGCATTAACATCCAATTGGTCAAGTTTTTGGAGTGACGGCTCACTAGGCCAATCACAGTCTAGGTGTTGAGTCAACAAGCAACAGTTCATCTGCACAGCCCTTTGTCAAGGGAACTCATTTTCTTTCCCCGAATTTACCCAAACAATGCCGGAAATAGATAGAATAGAATTTGCCTTCAAAATAAAACTGAGAACGTCAACGCATAGCACGTGGATTCGTCGCATTCCATATTGATATTTACCCCAAAATTACATAATAAACAAACTGAAATAGTGTCATATCCCGTTATTGTGCATACCATATTATATTTCTGTACGTGTATGCGTGAGAAAGCTTTTATTTTGAAGCAACTAGACAGATTTCCGTGTCTTTTTTTTTTTTTAACTAACTTGACATCGCCATCTTGACTCAGTTTCTTCCTGAAGTTTTTAAGCTTTTAGGACTTTCTTCAGAACTGTGGATTAAACCAAAATGGGTGCTTGTTTGGCAGTGAGTTGCCTTGCCAACTGTGTGAGTATACATTTGCCGGCTGTGTTGTTGCTACACGATAAACGTAAACTTAGTATTTCTTACAGTTTCTTGCCTAATTTACCTAGCGTTGGGTTCACGCGTTGTTTAGCCAAGGCAACATTACGTTATGTTATCGAAACGTCAAACTAGCTTTTAGAATCAGACATTTTACTGCTGCTATAAGCAAACATATGTAAACGTGTCATGTGACATATTTATTCAGGAATAATTAAATACTAGTTAGTTGTTCAATTCGGCGTATCTCACTATTACAAACCAGGTAACCTAAGACATTAAAGTTACTTAAATTTGCTCTGACGTATTTGCGTTTGTTAACCGTCCTCCACTGCTGAAAGTAGTGACAATAAGGCACCAGTCATTTAAAGTGAACAAACCTGTGCCAACTTCGTTTATTGAACGTTAAACCCAAGTTAAGTTAACTCTTAGACCACCCCGGAAATGTTTTCGCACAGTGACGTTTCTACGAGGCGATATAACGTTACAAGGTGGCAGTGAGTTGCCAGATTTCTGAATAGAGTTTGGTGTGCTAGCAGTGGCGTATGTGAGCCGCCCTTTGACGTTATTTCCAGTTCTCTTATAAAATAATCCGTCTGTTATTGTTTTGGAGTTACTGTTGTCAGTGAGAAATATGCGCAGCGTGAAGCGCTATGTGACGTCACACCCATCAGCAAGGTGTTTTTCTAAAAAGGCAATTTCCGGGTCTTGCTCCGGATCCTAGGTTACGTCATCCCCTTCGGAGGGCTGTCACTGTTTTGTTGCTCTGTGCTTGGTGTGTCCATCACATTATATACAATATATTTGACATGTGTATTATATTTTTAACACTGATAACGTCTAAATTAAGAATGTATTTGTAACACTTGAGTAAAACAGAAAAAAAAAAAATATATTTTTCAAATCTGACTCACCAAATCATCCCTGGTGAACACAGGGGTCTTGACATTTTCTGTTCATTCACTTAACATCATTCTTCTACAGAACTCCTTTTTTAAAAAAGAAGCTGTGAGGTTATTGAGGTTAGACACTCAGCCCTTTTTAGTTAGCAAAATAGAACATATAAAAGGCAGTTTATATGTGCACTGTACTTTTTAATATCCTGTGTTATTATCACTATGAGTTCTTTGTAATATTCTTTTGTTTTGGTGTTTTTGTGCTTTTTGTCTTGACGCACCGATTCTGGATATTTAGAGACTGGTTTTCCAGTCGTGGAAACACCTGGAAATGTATTCGAATGACCAAATATCCTGGAAAAAATCAAAGTTATCCTGGAAAATTGTAAACCTAGGTGCATATTTAGTTAGAATTAGTTTTAGAAACACAAACAGTTGATAGGATAAGCTAACATGTCAGTAAAGAACGAGTATTCTTCTGTCCGCTCAGAACAGCCAAGCACGTCGTCAGTCAACAAAGCGAATATCTGCTAAAACCAATGTTATCTGATACATCGGTACATCCCTGCTGATTATAGGAATAGAGTTATGTGTAAGAGTTGTTTGTTGCCCGGGCAGCAGGCCGCTCTGAACCATGGAAACAGGGATCCTGTCGTTACGGCCGCAGTGTTTACACCCAGGGCTTGTGTACTGTGGTGCACACTCACACTTAGTGAAGGATGGCTGAGCCCAGCTACAGTCTCCGCCTCAGCGCTTCACTCACCTCTGAGCCGCAGTGTGCATCTGAATCCTCTGATCCCGTTCACAGCGCTGGATAAGAAACGGAGAGGGGGGGGGGGATTTGTCATGATGGCAGCTCTAATCACAGGCCTGATTACTGCCACTGTAACTCATTTGTCTCTGCTTCTCTGGAAGCGTGCAGGAGCAGGAGAACGATTGTTGCCCCGGCAGCAGACACACTGTTATGTATTTTTTTATTTTTCTCAGTTCCACAGTCGTTGCAAGCCATGCATGCATTATCCTGATTATCCCACAGCCCAGAGCCCCGTCCCCGAGTTTCATCAAATATGAATCTGTACGAAGGCCTTGCTAATTCTCTCCCTCTTGTCTTCTCCAGGCGTCCTGTTTGTGTGGCTCGGCCCCCTGCCTCTTGTCATCATGCTGCCCGTCAACGTACAACTCCACCGTGAGCCGGCTGGCCTTCTCCTTCCTGATGCTGCTCGGGACTATGGTGTCCGTCATTATGATTCTCCCAGGCATGGAGGAACATCTTAAAAAGGTACATTAGATAAGACTAGATTAGATACAAGTTAATGCTGCATACTGGGGGGGGGTTGCATCAGACTCTTTAATAGGCACGGGTTTCATTTCATTTTATGGCCCACAGTTCATATCCAGTTCAAGCCAAAATAGGAAAATAATTCCGCTGGGTTTCATAAGGCTGTAACCCCGCGACAGTGACACTACAGAGCAGCCGGACTGGATGCTTGCATTATGATTGTTATTTTACAATTTGAATCCTTGCCTGCCCCCCCACCCATTATTTCCTTCGTGTGCGCCCACTCTGTCAGATTCCAGGCTTCTGTGTTGGCGGAACCACCATTCCCGGCATGGAGAACAAAGTGAACTGTGACATCATTGTTGGCTACAAGTCAGTGTACCGCATGTGCTTCGCCATGGCCTGCTTCTTCTTCCTCTTCTCCATCATCATGATCCGAGTGCGCAGCAGCAAGGACCCCCGAGCCGCCATCCAAAATGGGTTCGTACTGTGCACATCAGCGCCACAGTCCTGTGTGACGAAAGCATGCTGCACTCTGGTGGCCGAACATGGGGACTGCATCAAAAACAGAAAAAAACAAACTTGTTCTGTACATTCTGAGAGTAACTTTTTTTTCCCCTCAGTTTCTGGTTCTTTAAGTTCCTGGTGCTGGTCGGTCTAACTGTGGGAGCTTTCTTCATTCCAGACGGCATGTTTACGACAGGTATGAAGCTGACACACAGCTCACACACCTTCAAACGAATGTGCTACAATATGCTACTGCTTGGTTTGAGTGCAAAGCAAGTTACAATTAGGGCTTGATATTGAACCTCAATGTATCAAAGAGTGCCAATATGGAAGCTTAGATTTCGATTCTTCTATCAGAAAGTCTTTGTTTTAATCATTTTTAATTTTTAAAAATCATAACTTTAGTATATGTACGACTGCTTGCGTTTAGATTTCATTTTGACAGCTGTTGAAAAAAAGGGCTTTGTAGAGAAAAATAGGCTTTTGACAAACTTGAACAAACAAAAGTCATTTCCTGTATATTTTTTATTTTACTTTAGTTTTGTACAGTACAGAATATTTAATCTATATTTTTCAATTAACTAAAATGTTTTTCAAACCTAGTTTTAGTTTTTATTTCAGTTATAGTTAACTATAATAACCTTGATTATTGTCAGTTTGTGTTCATGTTAAATAACCACTTGTACCCACTCAAGTGAACGTTCAATTGTCAATTCTGATGTTCGTTAATAAATAAGCGAAACATCCGTTTATATAACGATGTCATCCTTGTTAACCTACAATGGCACACACTGTACGGAGAGCCTCTTGCTTTATGCTTTACAACTGTAAATGAGTGCCTAATAACCCTCTGAACAAATGAATCCTTTTGCTTTCAGTGTGGTATTACTTTGGCGTGGTGGGCTCCTTTATGTTCATCGTCATCCAGCTCATCCTGCTGGTGGACTTCGCCCATTCCTGGAACCAGTCCTGGCTGGAGAGGGCAGAGGACGGAAACCGCAAGTGCTGGTTTGCAGGTAGAAGGGCAGCACACCCTCCACTTATCACAAAGAACCTTTAAAGGTCCAGTGTTTAAAACATTTAGGAGGATTATTGTCAGAAATGGAATATAATATTCATAGCTATGTTTCTATTAGCGTACAATCACCTGAAAATAGGAATTGTTGTGTTTTTGTTAGAATCTACAGAAGGAGCAGGTGCTCTTCTACAGAGTCCACCATGTTGAACCACCATGTTTCTACAGTAGCCCAGAACACTGGCTCTAGATAGGACAGAGTTCCACTGCCACTATAGTTTCTCCTATACACTTGGAAGGCTGAGTTGTACTCAGATGGTTGCAATCTGCAACTTACTGCTAGATGCCACTAAATTTTACACACTGGTCCTAAAAGTGCAAGTATAAAATTCAGACCTGTCCAATCACAGCAACCTTTCCACAAATTTGACCAATCGTTGTAGTTTCCTGCACAAAACTTTGAGTCGCACATCACCAAACTCACTTTCTTGTATCTAGTTGTGAAGATGCAGACCATGGAGACATGTACACATCTTACATTTACCCTGTCCAGTGGGATTGTATTCTCACTGGAACAAGTTGCCTTTAGTTGCCTTTAGGAATTATACTAAAAACTAATAATACGGTAATCAAAATTGATTTTCAGTTTCTCCTGGAATGTCACAACATGCATCGCAATTTTTTTGAAAACTGCCAGAAAATCCAGCAATTTAGGCCACAACAATCCCAAAGAAAGTCTGCAAACTCCCAGAGGGACTGACATGTTTTTGTGTCTGTGTACCAGTGTAGTGATGAATCAATCAAACTACATAAGCTGCAGACGTAGGTAACACCGACTGAACTTGTCTAATGACTTTACCCTTTGCTCATGTTTTCCGCGCAGCTCTGCTTTCCGTCACCTTCATCAACTTCGCCTTGGCTTTCACTGCTGTTGTGCTCTTCTACGTGTTCTACATCCAGCCTGACGGCTGCACGGAGCACAAGGTCTTCATCAGCCTCAACTTCATATTCTGCATCATTGTGTCCATCGTGGCCATTCTGCCCAAAGTTCAGGTAAAAGCCAGATGTTATGGATATTTATGGACTGAGGCTACCTAGCTGTTGTTGCTGTATAATACTCCACTCTCAATGATGTATGTATATTTGCAAGAAATGAGAATACCTGCTTTTTGATGCTCAATCTACAAGACCAGCTAATATGGAAATAATGTGTCCCAGCCATGAGCCTTTGTTCTGAGTGAGGAATGTTTAGAGTTTTGTCTTACTGTCTGGCACAATGATTCATTTCTCGACTCATCCCGTGTCTCCCCAGGAGGCCCAGCCGAGCTCAGGTCTGCTCCAGGCCTCCCTCATCTCCCTCTACACCATGTATGTCACCTGGTCAGCCATGACCAACAACCCCAGTAAGTCCAACGAGTCACAACATGACTGCATTTTATCCAGAACTTGAAGCAGGATAATAGGAGGACAATAAAGGAACTCCCTGTGGCTGTAATAACAACTAGTTGCCCCATTGTCTGCTGTGAACTGTTTGTTTCCAACCTCAGATCGGCAGTGTAACCCCAGTCTGTTGAGTTTGGTCCAGCCCGCCAGCCCAACTCCACCACCAGGTCCTGCTCCTCCTAAAGAAAACGTCCAGTGGTGGGACGCACAGAGCATCGTGGGATTGCTCATTTTCTTGTTCTGCACTCTCTACGCCAGGTATTACCCTGTTACTGCTGGTTTTTAGGTTCCCTGTCATGGTCATGGCTCGCCTTTACAAGAAGACTGTAGACATTTAAATAACTTGAAACACTTAAGTGTTGCTGCAAGTTGCATCTTTTTCCTGCTGTCACAAACCGCACATTACTTCCCACCACTGACAGTACATATAATGCACAGAACTTCCAGGTCTGTGAAGTGAAGCCAACACAGAAGTGTCTTCTGCAGAACCTGCATTCTATGTACTGGCCAGTAGGGGGCAGCTCCATTGGCTCTTTTCAGAAACATATTTACTGGTGGTGTACTGTTTAGCTGTAATACCAGATTGTGTGTGACAAGGCGAGCCAATGAGAGCGGCTCAATTCGCAGTTCGTCACCTCCGCTGGCTCCGACAAACTGTCAACCATAACGCCAAACTCAAGGTTTAAAAACGTGGCCCACAAACCAATGGGTGACGTCACAATAGGTTCACACTTGATTCCCACGCCTCCTGGAAAACCCGGAAATTATAACTATAATTATGACTTCCAGTCATGAAAACACCTGGAAATGATTAAAATGACCCAATATCCTGGAAATAATCTGCATTGTCCTGGAAATTAGAGATATTTCAGATTCTCCTGTCATTCGTTACTGTATGTCAAGATGACTTCTCGCACTCTCACCCGCCACAGTATCCGCTCCTCCAACAACTCCCAGGTGAACAAGCTGATGCAGACTGAGGAGGGCCAGGGTCTGACCGCCGTCGAGTCCGTGGAGGGGGAGGACGGAGTCCGACGGGCCGTGGACAACGAAGAGGAGGCTGTCACCTACAGCTACTCCTTCTTCCACTTCAGCCTCCTGCTGGCCTCCCTCTACATCATGATGACCCTCACCAACTGGTACAAGTAAGTATCTGTTATTTGTCCAACTCTGCTAACTCCTCCAGACACTGACCTCTCTCTGTTCTCGGCTCATCAGGCCCGGGACCGATTACAGCATCATGCAGACCACCATGCCGGCCGTGTGGGTGAAGATCTGCTCCAGCTGGCTCGGCTTGGCCATTTACCTGTGGACCCTGGTGGCCCCGCTGGTGCTCCCCGACAGAGACTTCAACTAAACGAAGTCTGTCAACATGTGGCTGCCAGCCTCTTGCTATTTGCACCAGGATAGCTTTAGCTTTAAATCGATCTGTTTGATTTGCTTGCAACACCACATTTAAAATCAGCAAATGAAAGTTGAAATGAGCAAAAGAATCGTTTGAGTTGAGATTTAATCACACATAGCAGTTTTTCCACCTCAGGTTATTTTGTCTTTCCACTGTTACTGAGATTCTGATTGAGAGCACTACACAGCTTTTATTGGACGACACCAAATGAAACTTAGTTGATCCCTATGGGGAATGGATGTTTTGGCTTTGTTTCACTACATTAATGTTAATTGTTCATACTTTTTATATTGTTTCCTTTAAATCACTTGGATTCCATGGACTATAGCTGCAACTAACAATGATTTTCATTATCGATCATGAGTCAGTCATTTTCTCGATTGATTAGTTGTTTAATTCAGAAAATGTCAGAAACTGACAAAATGTTGATCACTGTCTCCCAAAGCCCAAGGTGACGTCTTCAAACGCCTTGTTTTGTCGACAACCCAAAGACATTCAGTTTACTGTCAGAGAGGACTGAAGAAAGCAGAAATCGAAAAGGTTTGATATTTTGGCTTTAAAAAATGATTTAATGTGATTCATTTAAAAGTTGACAACTAATCGATTGATCAACTAACCGTTGCAGCTCTAGCATGGACGTCCAAATCGTGCAAACTAGATTTTAGTTATGCATGTTATTTTTTTATTGCACCGCTTTGTTGTAGTGCTCAGTTTTATAACAGCAGTGCCTTATTATATGTTGCACACAAGTTATTCTGAGGGACCATTTTTGATATCTTTTACATTTTTGTTGTCAGTATAAAGTTTCTTTCTCAATATTCTGTATATTCACTTGTCATTATACTCAATAAAGTTGACATCCTGTTCAATGTCTGTAATCAGGTTTAGGCAACCCTTCTGTCCTGCAGGTGGGGCCGTTGGCCATCGAATTAGACCTTTTCTTTGTAGCCGGATTTCATTATGTAGAATGGGTTTGGACATATGTGGTGTGCGATTCCTAACCCTGTGTGATAACCTGCTCTTTTTATACAAACTACTTTGGGAATGGGCGCATTGGTTTTGTTCAGAAGTGGCAAACACAATGTCATCAAGCCCGGTCAGCAGGGATTTCCAAATGCTTCACTGCCCTCCCTCCATTAATCACATGATCCTGCTAAAATGTGATTTATTGTGTTCCTTCAATGCAGGATTCCCCAGTGCAACACACACACACACACATTTGGCAAGTAATGCAGAGGGAATGTGTTTTTCCCCTATCACAAGATCAGCATGAGCAGTGCGGCTGAACACAACACTTCATTATACTTCACAATATTCATTCAGGGCTTGTGTTGGGGAACGACGGCAAATGACGGAGCTCTAAAGTCCTGTTTGGTCTTATGGTGGCAAATCTCAGAGACCGTACCTTCAACACTACTGCCCACACACTCGGAATATTTCTAAAAACCCACTATGAGTCCCCCTGCTTGTTCTTCAGTCTCTCATTTGTGCCTTTCATATTAGAATTAAAACCCACTGATCAGGGTTCCCAGGCGTCCTGGAAA